TTGGCATCAAAAATGCTACTAAGTTGGCAACCTTCCCCAAGAAACCGTTGAAACCGACCTTTCTGTGCTGGAAGATGGCGTGGGGGTCTTGCAGGCAACAAAGCTTCAGATAAAGAAGAACGAACTTTCGAAAATCTTTCCAATTCATTCTAAACCGTAAAGCCTAAACCCTAAACCCTGCCAACCTCTCTGCCGGCTCGCCGGCGAAGTGCACCGTCCAGTCGCGGAAGAGCCTCTCCGTCTCCTCTGCGGGAGCTTTTGGAGCTAAGAACAAGAGCCTTAACATAGGGACCCTTAGGGATTTTGGCCTACTACCCTAAACCCATAAGGGGCATTTAGGGTCTAATGGAGGGTAGATGGAGGGTCTAGGTTAATATAGGGACCCTTAGGGATTTTGCCTACTACCCAAAAACCCCAACTAAGTCCTATGCATGAGCCCTAAGCCCTAAATTGCCCACCGCCAGGGCTAAAATGCGTAGCAGAAACAACCCTTACCCCGAAGGCTCGAAATAGCCCGAAAGCCTTCTTATTCGCGACGTTTGGGCCCAAACCCACAAACTATGAATCCTAAGGATTCATAGTTTAGGGTTTAGGGTCCTTAGAGCCTTCAAGTGAGACCCCTCAAGCCCTAAACCCCCTTAACCTAAACCCTAAACCCTACGAATCCTGCCTGGCCGAGCGTGTGGCTTCGCTCCATGTAGCCGTCGAGGCTTTCGGCGCCACGCTTGGAGAGGTAGCTCCTCCAACGGTTTAGGGATTCAGGGTTTAGGGGGGCTTCATACTTACAAAAGGTATACTTAAAGTTATGAATCCTACTATTTGGGGGTTATAGGCCCGGGGTGTCTTTATCAGGTTCCTACATTAAGGGGCTTCATGCTCAGAGCAGGGTTTTGGGGTCAAGGCCCACAAAACCCAATGCTAATGTTTAAGGCGGGGAACGAAAACACGATAAAACACCCGCCCCCCCCTCCTCCTTATAAACCCTAGACACAAAAGACACTAAAGCCCACATCCCTAAACCCTTCCAACACAAGGCCGTGACACAATGAAGCCTGAACACTTACTTGGAGGGGCAGGGGACTTAGTAAGTAGGTTATAAGTAGAGTTATAAGTACCCTAAATGGAGCTACCCCAGTTATAACCGTACTTATAACCTACTTACTACCAAGTAGACCCCAAAGCCTTTTCGAAGTCGAGGCCTCACGAACTGTATCCGGTGATTGATACTGCTGAAAACCATAAGAGGTTTAGGGTTTAGGGACTATTGATATTTAGGGATTCTTGATATTGCTGAAAACCATAAGAGGTTTAGGGTTTGGGGTTTGGGGGGTCAGGGATCATTGATAATCAGTGTATTATTGCTGGAAAAAACATCAGCGATTAGTCTTCTGAGCCGCATTATGATTATGCCTGCACAGCTCGCAACCGTTGCCACCCTCAGGACCAAATCCTAAACTGTTAGCCCAATGGCCCTAGTTGTCTAGCCTGATTGGTTGGCTCAACACCACCACCTCGGCTTAGTCTTCCCAGAGACTCCAATTTCCCTTAATTGAGGAATATTCTTAAATCATATCCTTCTATAATTTATGGTATATTCCTTAATTAAGGGGTTTTGGAGTCTCTGGGTTGTGAACCCTTAAACCTACCACGCAAACCCTTTCGTCATCGGAAACCCAAAGCCTGAACTATCGTCCTGCTCTACCAGGACCCCCCAAGTACCCCTTGAAAGGGCTCTAATATTTCTCATTAAGAGTTAATTAGGGGCTACCAGAAAGGGTAGTTGGGGGCTCTAGGTAAGCCCCAAACACTTGAGGAGCTCCCGGCGAATGTAGGAACACTTGCTAGGAACACTTGCGCAAGCTGCAATAGCGGTCCCTATGCCCTATTCTGTGCTGGAGGCATGTGGGCGCTTGGGGATGTCATCGCCAAGTTGACCAGCGACGCCAACTTTAAGACAAGAGCTTGGCCCAACTTTCGGGCTAATATGGTAATAGCCGTAATAGCGCTGTTACTTTGGGGCATCGAGGACATCGATGCTTCAGCGGGCGTAAAGCTTCAGGAGCCGCGGTTTGAGAGGTTAGTAGGGGCATCAGTCCGAGTTTCGAAACCCTGAACCCAGAGACTCCAATATCCCTTAATTAAGAAATATACCTTAAGTTATAGTAGGATCCCTAAGATGATTTAAGGAATATTCCTTAATTAAGGGATGTTGGAGCCTCTGGGAACTGTGAACCCCTGATCCTCCAATTCTGTAATCCCTTGTCTCCGAAATTTGGAACCCCTTGCTGTTGATGGTATAAATCCTGCTCTATGCATCATAAGGAATATACCATAATTATCATAGTTTAGGGTTTAGGGTCCTTAAGGTCATGCAGGATTTATATCATCAACCGGAGTTTCCGAAAATAGGGAACAAAAAGTCTAATACCCTAAATAGTCGGATCCTGATTAGAAGGACCCCCCAAATAAGGTATCCACTAACTTTCGGAAACTTTAAACCCTAAACCCTGACCCCTTTATAGAACCCTTATAGTACCCTCATAGTAACCCCTTTAAAGGAACCCTAAGATACCCCCCGAATTTTGGGAAACTCCCAGATGTTGAGCACATCGAACTTGCAGCCCGACAAATTGAGCCCCCAAAGCCCCTAAACCGCACGCCTAAGCGAACCAAATGTCATCTTCCCAGAGACTCCAATATCCCTTAATTAATGAATATTCCTTAAGTCATATTAGGGATCCTGATATACTTTAAGGTATATTCCTTAATTAAGGGATATTGGAGTCGCTGGGCTAGGGTTCAGGGGTTTAGGGTTTAGGGTTCGGCTTCGATGCCAAAAATGTTCTCTGTGAAGAACACAGACCGTTTCGTGACAAGCTTGCCGAGATCCTCTTGGCCACTTTGGCCTCTGCCTGTGCCTGCACAGGGTCCTTGTCTTTGGCCTGCATATTCAGCAGAGTATGGATCTCCTGTAGCGGCTTTGTAAAAATCGCAGATAGGCCACCAAGACGAAGACTTCATTCACCAAGTCTTGTCACAGTCGAGTGAAGGGCACATTCTTGATGCACCATTCACGACCCAGAGACTCCAAAACCCCTTAATTAAGGAATATACTTTAAATTATAGTAGGTAGGATCCCTAATATGATTTCAGGAATTCCTTAATTAAGGGATATTGGAGTCTCTGGGGAAGGTTCTCTTTTCGCCCCGTGGCCAGGTTGCCAGTGCGCGCCCTCGGCATCCTTCAAGGCTGCCAACTTCCTCCTCGTGGAATACACGCCCGAACGGCTGCTGAGCTGTCCTTTCTTCGGCCTGCAGCTTCGTCGCTTGGTAGGGTGTCGCAGGCACACCGAAAACAGGGGTGGAAGATTCTTAAAACCTTGCAACTAAGCTGAAGACCCTGAGGATGTGAGGCTTAGGGCTTACCTGTATCCCCAAACCCTACAAAACTTAAGTAGACGGTCTAACCCTTAAGATGGTAGGTTTTGGGATCCACTGGTACCTTATTCTACCAAACCCTAACTTTTTTTGCAGGTCCTTATTATAAACCCATAATATGGAATTTATAAGGACCCTACTTTTTTGTAGATTTTGGTAGGTTAAGGCAGGGCTTGCGGTTCGGGTTTGGGTGCCCTCCCTCCCAGAGACTCCAAAACCCCTTAATTAAGGAATATACCTTAAATTATAGTAGGATCCCCAATATGATTTAAGGGATATTCCTTAATTAAGGGATATTGGAGTCTCTGGGTACCCTAAACCCTATAGATCCCTTGAAGAAGCCCTTAAGGATCCCTTTAAAGGAACCCCTAGGTATTCCCTAATCAAGGGATATTGGAGTCTCTAAGCTCTGACAGTCGCGATCCTCTCCGCTTGCTCCAGCTGCTCATTGGCGCGGTGGACCAGATCCTCGGTTTCGGGGCTTAGGGTGTTTTGTTTAGGGCTTAGAGGGGTTTTAGGGTTGGGGTTCAGGGCCTATAGGGTTTGGGGGCGATTTTTAGCTTTTAGGGGTTTAGGTTTTAGGGTTTGGGTGCTTTTTTAGGGTTCAGGGTTTGGGCGGTTTTTAGGTTTTATAGAAGTTGTTGAGGGTTTGGGTGCCTTTTTAGGGTTCAGAAGTTCAGGGCTTAAGGTTTGGTTGGTGTTTTTTAGGGTTTAGGGGCTAGGGCATTACATAGGGTTTGGGTGCATTTTTAGGGTTTAGGGTATGGGTGCGTTTTTAGGGGCTAGGGTTTATTGCTTGGGCGCTTTTTTAGGGTTTAGGGTTTGGGCGTTTTTGTAGGGTTTCTGGGGAGGAATGAACCTTTATGGTAGCCCTACAAACCCTCCCCCCCAGATTGCATGTCTGCAACCAAACGTTTCGACCTGGAACCCTTGCCGCAGGGTTCATGGGCTACTTAGAGGTGAGCTCGGGTGCAGGGCTTAAGGGCTGAAGATAATGTTAACCCGTAAATCTGTTAACATCTATACCCCGAACTCAAAACCCAGTCTAGCACCAAACCCGCGGTGGTGCTTGAGGGTTTGTGGCTTGGGAATTTGAGGCTTCCTCGCTTCGGAGTTTCGGGTGGAGGCATCTGGGCCGATGACATGACCCCAATCCCTTAACCATAAACCCTAAGTCCTTGAACCCGACACCCCTAAACCCCCAAATCCCTGAACCCCTAAACCCCTGAACCCCCAAACCCCCAAACCCCTAAACCCGTAAACCCCGAAACCCCTTAACCCCCAAACCTCCAAACCCTGATGGATAGCTTGGAGGAGAGCACAGGTCGTGTAATATCGGGGCCTTGATAATTAGAACTACGGCTTTTAGGGGTATATTGCACTATAATTATAATAAGGGGTCCCGCAAAATAGTATAGGTAATTATTAAGGCCCCGAAATTACCTAAGTACTACTAGCCCAAGTCAGGTGCGCATAGCCCACCTTGTGGCCACCCACCTATTTCTACACTCTCAATACGCAGAATTGCCAGGGGCTTAATCTAAACTTCGCTTTGCATACGCTCACCGGGCAGTCCTGAATCTCTTGGATGTTCGCCTGTGGAGCATTGGAAGCATGCATGTCTAGCACAATCCCTTCCCAAGGGGACCCTTCCCAGCCTAGGCTTTTATACAGGGTCTTGAGGCGCAACAAAGGACAGTTGGGCGTCGAGTTAACGTGTTGGGGTTCACGGGATCGACTAGGTTACGGCTTACGAACGGGTTGAGAAGCGAGTGTTTAGCGATGAAGTAAAAGTATAATGGACGTGACACGATGCTATGAAGTGCTAATATGTGGAGTCAATGCCAATTTTAAGGGTCATAACCTACTATTTTGTAGGGTTTTGGGATACAGGTTGATCTCCGATGAGACTTTTGACCCAAGCAGATTCTTTGCACATTAAGCTGTAAGCTATTGGTACTTGTTCAGAACCCTATACTAGGGGTCTAGGAGTTAGGGTTACTCTAGCAGTATTTATATGGCAGTAAACCCCAAACCCCTGAACCCCTCAAACCCTAAACCTCCTAAACCCGTAACCCCCTAAAGCCTAAAAACCCTAAACCCCCACTACCCTACACGTTACACCCTAAACCTTAAACCCCAGACCCTTCTGCTCCAACCCCTGCTCGGAGGATCATGGGACTTAGCAGGTAAGGTTGCAAGTGCCCTAATGGGGTTACTTACTAAGTCCATGGTCCCTTAACCCTAAACCCTTATAGACCTCTTTTAGAAGCCTTCACGGGACCTTTTACGGATCCCTTTGAGTTACGAAGCATCATGGTACTTTAAGTAGCCCTGAACCCTAAAACCCTCAACCCCCAAACACTAAATCCTGAACCCTAGACCCTCTATATACCCTAAACCCTAAACCCTCAACCCCTAAATCCTAAACCCTGAACCCTCAACCCCTAAACCCTAAAGGCCCTCAACCCCTAAATCCTAAACCCTAAATCCTAAACCCTGAACCCCTCAACCCTAAATCCTAAACCCTAAAGGCCCTAAACCCTAAATTCTACACCCTAAAGACCCTGAACCCTAAAGGCCCTCAACCCCCAAATCCTAAACCCTAAAGGCCCTAAACCCTAAATCCTAAACCCTCAAGGCCCTAAACCCCTAAGCCCCAAGTTCTAAACCCTAAAGGCCCTAAACCCTCAACCCTAAACCCTGAACCCTAAGTTCTACTTCCTGAAGTTCTAAGTAGCCCCGGAGCGCCCGACCTTGATGTTCGCCTCGAAGCTCGTTTCCTGGCCGCTAGCACTCAGGGGCTGAGCACCCCAGGCCAAAAGGCTCGGGTTCGGGGTCTAGGGGTTAGGGGTTTAGGGGTTTAGGGGTTTAGGGGTTAGGGGTTTAGGGGTTTAGGGGTTAGGGGTTTAGGGGTTTAGGGGTTAGGGGTTTAGGGGTTTAGGGTTCCTTAACCTGGAATAACCTACCGTTTTAAGGACTTACATAAGGAAATCTTAATGACGAACTGTAAACAGGTAGATGATTCAGGGTTAGGGTAGGGCTTTAGGGATTCAGGGTTTAGGGTTTAGGTGATTTAGGGTTTAGGGCTTAGGGGTTTTAGGGATTAAGGGTTTAGGGGTTTTAGTGGTCTAGGGTTTAGGGGTTTTAGGGTTTAGGGTTAGTTATGGTAGGATTATGTATACCCCCGAAAAGGTTAAAGGTTACGTACTCAGCTACGAAGGGCAAAAATGCTGCACGATGCTTTCCAGAAAGCCGCGGGTCGAACCCTAGTCTCGAATATTGTAGGTCATCTTCCATTGTTTGTATACATAGGTATATATATATATATATAATATGATAATATATATATATATATATTCTATTCTATTCTATTCTATTCTATTCTATTCTATTCTGCTATGTTGCGATATGATATTTTCTAACTACTGTCTTGTATCATATTGTGGTATCTTATATTATGCCATATCATGATAACATACTGTGTTATATTATGTCATGTTATACTGTACAATATTCGTTTTATATTACAGGATACTCTATTCTTCTAGTCTGTTCTATTATGCTACATGGTCAAGGGTTTCGGGCTTTAGGGTTTAGCATTTCCGGGGTTTAGGATTTGCGGGGTTTTAGGGTTTAGGGTTCTCTGGGGGCTTTCGGATTAGTCGGGCTTTGGATTCTTTTGGCGCGCAGATTTCAGTTGAAGGCTTTGGGTTTAGGGTTTAGGGTTTGGCTTAGATTTTGAGGCTGTTAAAGTGCGGAGGTTACGGATTAGGGTTTGGGGCTTTCATTTAAACAAGTCTAAACTTAGCATTGGCGGAAGTCCGGCCAAACCCCTGAACCTTTAACCTCATAACTTCGCACCTCGAACCCTGAAGGGGCGAAGGATGACCTGTTGCTGGTGAGCGTCAAAACCAGGATTCTACCTGGACCCTAAAAGTATGTAGCTAATTGGAATAATAGCCTTCTACACGGTATTGGGCCATTACTTTACCTACTTTTGGGGCTTTAGGTACTAACTACTTGGCTACCCTTGTGTTGGAAACTACAGTTTATTGGCGTTCAGGATGTGCCTGTCAGGTCCAGATCCCAAACCGGACTGCAAGCTACTGTTCATACGAATTCCAAGAGGCGCTTCGGATTTGTCCAGGCAAAGCCCGCCGTGAACCCTCAACCCTCAGCCTTATGAAGAGAAAAGCCCGGCACCTCCTCGCGCCGATGGCGTGTGGTGCCTCCCAGGCTGTGCGGGATGTAAGTTTTAAAAGGTTTAGTGCATGGGGCTTCAAAGGGTGTCATGAATCAGGAAGGGTTTAGGGTTTAAGGATTTAGGGTTTGGGGTTTGGGGTTTAGGGTTGAGGGTTTGGGGTTTAGGGTTTAGGGATTTAGGGTTTGGGGTTTAGGGTTTAGGGATTTAGGGTTTGGGGTTTGGGGTTTAGGGATTTAGGGTTGAGGGTTTGGGGTTTAGAGTGCAGGGCTTTTGGTTTCAGGATCTATAGGGCTTGCAGTTCAGGGTTCAGCGTTGCCCTTCATTGTTTGCGAGGTTCCAGCAGCATCAACAAAAACAAGTTCAATACACCCATACCCTGATGGGACCCCAAGAAACTCTGTCGGGTAATTGGGGGAAGTTTGTAAATTTTACATCCATGTCCCTTATTCAAAACCTCAAAGCCTTAAAGTATTGTAGTCTTGCAGGCTGTCAAATTCATGTATAGGTTTCAGGGTTTGTGGCCATAAACGTGGAAACAATGGTACCCCCCAGCCGAAAACTTAGAGCGATGTGGCAAGTGGCACATCACCTCCCTCTTTTGTGCTCCAACTGTGGCACGATGGCCTCTACTGTAGGGTTCCTCCAAGGGTAAAAGGAGGGACCCTTAACAAGGACCCCTAGGTATATACCCTTAATATAGCTATTATATACCCATTATAAAGCCCAGTATAGGGTAGGGGTCCCCATTAAGGGTCCCTCCTTTTCCCCTTTGAGGTTCCATGTGCCGGCCCTACCAATGCCCAATCACACTAAACTCGTATCACACCGCCCTAAACCCGAAGCGCAACCCTGTGGCATCAAACTCGGTCTTAGGGTGAAGCTCTTCGTCCTTAGACCTTAAGCTCCCTAACCCTTACCCCTAAACATTGAAACCTACATGAACCTAAACCTTCCTCCTAAATCCTCAACCCGAAACCCTAGCCCTTAACCCTAAACGCGAACCCTGGCCCTAGCCTTAAACCCTGAACCCTAAACCCTAGCCCGAAACCCTTAACCTTAAACTCCTAAACAGCTGCTAGACCCCTAAACCCTAAACCCCTTATAGTACCCTTATAGATCCCTTCAAAGGCCCGAAACCCTTGCCCTGAATCCTGAACCGTGGACCCTTGCTAAACCCGAGCCGGGAGACGAAGATAAGCGAAACTGAACTTTGATCCAAGGGTAACAGGCGGGACCCTTAATAAGGAGCCCTGGGAATATACCCATAATATAGCCATTATATAGCCCACTATAGGGTAGGGGTCCCCATTAAGGGTCCCTCCTTTTCCCCTTTGGTTTGAAGTAACCAAGGACCCAGAGGGTCCATATATACTACCATTATGGAATTAGGCCCCAAAACACCATCCCCTATTATGGCTTTGAGGGCCCAATTCCATAATGGTAGTATACGTAGACCCTTTTGGGGAGCACAAAGTATAAACTTTCATTCCACAATGGTTCCTGTAAGGAACACGCACCAAACAAAGCTCCAAATCCAGGGAAAGCTCTTTGTGATGCCTTTCGAGCCGAGATCACGAAAGGACATCGGGCATCCACCTGGTCAGGTGGGGATTTCAGGGTTCCGGGTTCAGGGCCTAAGGGTTTAGGGTGTAGGGTTTAGGGGTTTAAGGTTTAGAATGTAAGGTGCTGGAGGAGCTGAGTTGAGCGTTAAACCCAAACAAAAGTGTTGAGTAGGATCAGCAGGTCCCTCAAGAATAATACGAAGAGATTAGGGTTTATAAGGCTCAAGGGCTTACAGGATGTTTAAGGGGTAGAATACCCAGACCATTGCGGGAACAGGTGTTACTTTGCAAGATAACCAGCCGCTGCAGCGACAGCATCTCCCCCCGCCCGTGCCGTGGCCCTGAACTTGCCCAGACCTTGAACCGACACTTGCTGCGTTCACGGGGCTCGTGACTCACTCCCTTAGGGACGAAATGAACCCTAAAAGGGTTTAAGGTTCATATACCATATAGGATATAGGCCCCCTACTTTTAAGGATCATTTGAAAGGTCCTTCAGGTAGCGCAACGAGGAAACAAAAGCATTATTTGGCATGAGTTTGGATACTGGTGCGATTTCGTCCCTTCCCCACCAATCCCCGCTTTGTAGCCTTGCCAGTGTTCGTCTTCGACCTCTAACCTACCGGTGAGGATCAGCGTCCCTGGCGGTGTTTCACATCTGAGTCTTCCGTTCTTAGAAAGCAAAAGCGGGCGCTCCTCGCGAAATCGAGAGGGCTTTCAAGCGGAACCATTGTCGGCGAAGGCGGAGGGCTCCGGAAGGTACAGCACAGGAAGGTTTAGGGCTTAGGAATACGATGCTTCTGTAGTTTAAATTAACCACACGTCAATCATTCGCAGAATCGTGCGCGACAGCAACGTTTATAGCGGGTCCTATATCCCGAAGCTACCCTGAGTCAGCAATAGGCCCCTTAAGACGACCTTCGAGGGATCACCGGGCTTCGTAAGAGCTCGGGCTGTCGAGCTGTAGTGACAAAGGCTCCAAAAAAGCTCCTTTTTGGGAATACCTTATAGGATTCAAAATATGAACCCCAAAAAGGAACTACTTTGGGGCCTTAGGGTAGTGACAAAGGCTGTTTAGGTTAGGGGTTTGAGGGGAAGGGGTCATGGACCTCATCCTTAGGTGAGAAGTGGGGTTCCACTTACCCTGATGTGCTTCTTCCCTCATGAGCCTGCTTACTAAGTTCCCTGATCCTTCGGGGGACCGGAAGTCCACTGCTGAGGGCCGTGTTCGAAAGCACGGCCCTCAACCCTTAGCAGAAGCCTTAGCTAGGAGGCTCCTCCGTCTGACGGCCCCGTTTTGCTCAGGATGGAAGAAGACGGCAGCTAAACATACGCGGTTTAAGGTGACATCCCTGTGTGTATTTGCTTTGACAGGCTTACTATACTCTAAACCCTAAATACCCTAAACCCAAAGCCCCAAAGCCGAAATCCCAAACCCTGAACCTCAAGCCAACTCTCCCCACTGCAGATCTCCCCTCCCCACGCCAGCCTTCGGGTAAGCACAGCAACGCAAAGCGAGGTGATCTAAAACACACCCGGGCGGCAAATGGGGCTGAGGCCGGGGGCGGCTGCAATCTTGAGACGTCTGAATCGCTCAATATTATTTACGTTATAGTATACTATGTTTTTGTAACTAATACGAAGATGGCACGGCGCGTTGGGCCTTTGCTGTCTATGCAGGTGACGGCATCTGCAGGCTCTCAACCAGCCGCACAGTTTGAGTTACCTCTCCATCTTCACTTTACATGCCGAGAATGAGAAACAGCTAAGAACCCTAAGTCCTAAGTTCACCCTAAGTTCCAACATGATTTCATTGCCTAGCTCCTGAAGACCTGGGTTGCCTCTTGAGCAAAGGGAGTGCGCGCTTTGACAGACCGTGGGACCCGAAGCCTTAAACGGCCTGAAGCCGCAGGCCACAAGACCCTGCACTACGTAAGACCAGACTGCAAACCCTTACCCATAGGCCCCAAAGTAGTTCCTTTTTGGGATTACCTTATTATAGGAGTCTACATATGAACCCCAAAAAGGAACTACTTTGGGGCCTTAGGGTAAAACCTTCATCCGAAAACTCCTGAATCCCCTTCGAACTTCAGCCCGAAAGCCTAAATAACATCAATACGGTTGATGACATAAATCCTGCATTACCCATAATAAGGAATATACCATAATTCTCATACTTTGGGGTCCTTAAGGTAATGCAGCATTTATATCATCAACCGTAGGACCACACCGCTGCGCAAGTGTTTTCTGACCCCACCATGTGTAGGCTTCGGCCACAGTCGGAAGCCCAAGACTCTCAAACATCATCCACAAATCTAGGATTGGCGCCTTAGGGGATCCTTGCAAACCCTGGCAACACTAAGCCTAGATACATGCGTAGTTCTCTAAATTAGGGGTCTCTTGTAGGTCCCGAAAATAGCCCGGCACCCGTATAAAAAGGACGCCAAAAGCCGCCATGACCTAAACCTTCAACCTTAAACCTCATCAACCCTTAAAATTCCCACATGTTCGACTGTGCGTTGCAACTCCAAAAAGCCGGCTTGACCTGAAGCTGCAAACCCCAAAAGCCACGCGGTCGACTCTCCGATGCAACCGTCGGGTAACCGATCGCCTAGTGATACTACTGTACAGGGTTGAGGGTTTAGGGCTTCCGGTGGGTATTTTGTAATTGTTTGCGGCCCCTTAAACCCTAAACCCCAAACCGTAGGTTTCATGAGACCTGCTCTTAGCGGTGAGGCTTCAGGGGCTTAGGTTGACGAGGCCCCAAGGTTCAGTTTAGAGTTTAGAGTTGGGGTTTTGAGTTTGACGGTTTCGGGTCTAGGGGTTAAGGGTCGATGTTTGAGGGCTTGTTGTCGCTTTTGAAGGTTTGGTTTGGGGTTTATCCGGTTTAGATCTTTTCATGTAGGTCTCAGGGCTGCTACTCAGTGTCACAGTATACTGTCTTATGCACGCTCCAAGGACAACATGGGTTCTTTTGGAGTATCTTGGGGTCTTGCTTTGATCATCGTTTCTGTTGTTAAAGGGCTTTCGGCCTGTCTAGATGATGCAGGAACCTGCTTTGGTTGTTTATGCAACACGGATCGCATTATCTTCGTGGCTTTAGGAGAGGGCCCTCTCGATCAGTTTAGAGTTTAATGCAGTACTTAGGAGGTTCATGAGTAGATATACAAGTATGGTGATAAAGACGGTAGCTATACTTATAGCTTCTACCCAGCCGCAGTTAGGTTACAAGAAGTGCATATATCCCTGCAGACAGCTGCGCTTGAATCTTCAAAGCCCGCACCCCAAAACTGTGAGCCCTCAGCTCCATACCCGCAAAGCCTAACCCCAAAGCTCTGAACTCTGAGCCCCTCCTTTAGATCCCTCTTAGGTCATCTTACTATCCCTTTGTATGCCTTGTAGACCCTAGAAAAAACCGTGTCAGGAACCCCAAACCCACAGAATCTTTCGAACTTTTGCTTTTTTGCTTCTCTTTTTGGGTCATCTCTAGGAGATGTGGGAGGTGTCCGCCGTTTGGCGGAGATCGGGGAGTTTCCGAAAATTCAGGGGTTCCTTTAAAGGGTTACTATCAGGTTACTATAAGGGTTTCTTCTATAAAGGTTCCTTTTAAGGGCTCTATAAGGGTTTAGGGTTACCGAAAATTAGGGGTTACCAGATTTTGGGGGTCCTTATTATAAGGATCCTGCTATTTGGGGCACTATATTAGGTACCCTGTTTTCGGAAACTCCCATCTATATTCTATAGGCCCCTCCATGAACAAACCAGAATCAGAACAACTCTTGGCTCAAAAGGTACCACATGGGCGTATCTAGAAACCTGGTCGCTACTACCGGAGGCCTTGAAACTTCAAAATGCATTGCAGTTCCTTTTTTTGGCAGAGCATAACCAACTCTATATGTATATGTAGGATCCATAAGGTGCCACCAAAAAGGAACTACGATGGAGACTAGAGGTTTGTCGGTTGCTCTTGCAGGTGTGACAAGCACTTTGCATCAAAGCCTACCTGAACCTCCAATAGCCTACGTAGGGGTCCTTTACCCTAAAGAACCTACCTTTTCAGGGTTTCCTGATGTAAGTCCTAAAAAAGGGTAGGTTATTCAGGGTCGAGGTAGGCTCAGCCCAGCGTCAGGGCCTTAACAATGTGAATGGGGTCTGAGTGTTAATTGGGGCTAGGGTTTAGGGTTTGGGGTTTAGGGTTTAGGTTAACAATGTGAACGGGGTTTGAGTGTTGATTGGGGCTATGCCCTCAGCAATGAAAATAGTGGTGTCGGGCGTCAGCGTCTGTCATTGCATTGTTCGGTTAAGGTACCATACGTCGTCGTCGTAGTCGTTGTATTGGTGGTGGTAACCCGGACACTCCGAAATCGACATATGTCTATGCTTGAATCCATGTCACACACCCTTTGGCCGATCACTTCAATCTCATTTGGGATGCTTGCGAATACCTTGCGAAGCGGCAAGCAGAACTGCGCTGAACCTAAACCCTGAAAGCCTCAATGGCAAAGCGCACTTCACTTCAGCTTGTAAGCTCCAGGTATTGCCAGATTGTCCACTATCCCCTAGTCTCGATATATATATATATATATATATATATCCTGAACCCCAAATGCTTAAATTTATGAAACCTCAAACCCGGAAAAATTACTGTATCACAGGAGCCCGCATACGCTTTAAGGGAGTGTTACTTAATTATTAATTTAGGGTATACTGGAAGAAGTTTAGGGCTGAAACCCACACATGCTGCTGGGCCATGATACCGTCATACTTGGAGGATAATGGGACTTAGTGAGTAGGGTTATAAGTACCTTAATTGGGGTTATAAGTAGTTAGAACTGTAGTTACCTTACTCCCCAATTACTAAGTCCCATGATCCTTTAAGTATGGATCGCTCAGATGGGTCTGATGAGTCAAGGGTTCAGGGCTTTAGCATGTCGAGGTCAGTATGGTCAGCATGTGCTCTGACAGTCCTTGTAATGTCTGCGATCATAAACCCCATGCCACAACCCGTTCTAGCGACGAAGGCACCGCAACCTCA